TAGTCCCTGCAGCTCAGTAAGCTCCAGCTTGGCCCACTTCAGTGTTAACTAGGGATTTAGAGACTGTTTACTTGTGGTGACTATGAGATGGAGGGAGGAACAAATAATCTGGCTCTTGCTACTCTCCTGTAGGTGTTTTGAAGATAATTAGAGAGGAGTGGTGTTTCTAATGTGCCTATCCTACTTTTCATGTACCCCTTACCCCCCAAAATCAAAAACTACTCTGCCTCAGTGTATAAGGCCTAAGGATGGTTCCTGTTCAGTCATCTAGGGTTGCTTTAAGGCTTGCTTTAAGCTGTTGCTGAGGATGAGCTGCTTAGATAGTTCAGCTTTCATGTAGGCAGCTGGATGTAGAGGGTGCTTAGAGCTTTAAAAGCAGAAGATGCTCTACCTGTTGTATGGTGTCAGGAACAGTCAATAGCTCTGAAAATGGGCAACTTAAACCCAGCTGCTCTAGAGGGAGATCTGAGCTGTGTAGCTCTTCAGTGTGAAGTGTTCATGATTAATCAGGCTAGCTCTTGACATGCAGCTGGCAGAATGCTGGTTGTTAGGATGGAGGAGTAATCCAGGGGTTGGAAAGGCAGTGTCAGATGTCTGCTGCCTAGGAGAGCACAGCACTGTCTTCAGTACTCTGCCTGCTTAGCTGGCATGTCCCACCTAATGCAGCATTTGGCTGTGAAGCCCCTCAATGATGCTGAAACAGGGCTGGTACTGTCCTTGGAGCCAGCAAGTCCAGTGTCCTGTGGTCATGGGGCACCTCCCCTCTGAACCTTGGCTGTGGGCTTCACTGAGTTTACTCAGCCTGCTGAGTTACAGGCTGTTCTGGAACAGTGCTAGTATGAAGCTTTAGACCTTCTGACCTTAATATATTAATGATAACTTAATATCCACTTGTCTTTGGGTTTAAACAGTCCCTATTGCTCTCTACTGACCTGCATACTCAAGTTTACTCTTCCAAGGAAACTGTAGCTTAACTAATTTCAGTGAGAAGAGCTCTTCTACCCCTCTTCTCCATTCTCTTTCCCCTGCTTCTCTTGCATCTTGTTCTCCTTGTACAGCCATCTAAGCTGTGCATCATACTTCAGAAGTGAAGGCAGTGGTTACCTCTAAAAAAAAATTCAGAATTTGTAGCCATTTACATAACTTTATAGAAGACCCTTCAACTTTTTACACTTTTTTTCTGAGCTGTGTCACAGTACAAGGGGCCTTCTTTTTTTTTGGATGTGAACAGTATTTTTGCTGGAAATCAAGGCTCTGACTGGGATTGCTATTTGGACCCTGACTGTATGGATT